ATTCTAGACTGGCTTCCCATACAGCACCCCTGCTGGCTGCCCACCACGAGGGTATGTACTAGATGTACCTGTAGATAACCAGGACATCACATTCACCGATTGATCCAATCGTGAGGATTGTCTATAACCAAATGGCATCTGAGGATATTGCATCATCCAGCAATTTTGGATGCATTTACAATCAGGAAGAGATTGATGCAATCCTCTCCCACCTGACACTGAAAAAGCATTTGGATCGGATACAGCTACTGATCGATTAAGGGAAATCAAACGCTTGAAGAAAAGACAGGTTGATCTGGAGCTGCATGGCCAGACTCTGTCTGAGTACTACCGAGCAAAATTAATCCCGAGGGGTTTCCGGATTAGAAATCAGCCCACCATCGGACGTCATAAACGAGATTTCTGTGAAAAAATGGTGTGAGGTTTCCACTCAGAAACTCACTGAACTATATGTTACTAGTTATTGAAGAGGTCAAGGTTCAGCTGTGCCAAGTGAAACGTGAACTTGCAGTGTTGGAATTACCAACACAAGATACAGAAAATCAGACCTCTGCCTTGCAGGAGATTGACAACGAGATTACCACATACACCATAAAACAGAAGCAGTCCAAAAGGGACAAATTTAAACAGGTAAACCAGGATTACCAAGAAGGTAGAGTTTACCCATGGCTAACCGGGATCTCTAGGCCCAGGAGGAGACTACGTACTCGACCTCTACCCCAGAAGCCAACAAAAGGAAGCCCCCAGATTTCGTCTGAGAGTGAGCGACTAACCGAGAATCCTTCTACGGACAGCGAAGTCGGCACATCTGGTCGCTCCACAGCCCTTGTTGCTGATAGTAGCACACCCCTTTTTCAAAGGGTCGGAGACGGCGCAGAACCAGGAGGGGCAATAAGAGGTCGCGGATACCAAACACGCAGCAACCGCCAACGCACGGGCAGACCAGTCCGGTAGTTAATCTATCATCCCGACACATCACAAAGGGTGAGTCTTGTCTCTTATCTAAAGGTCTGTCATTCTGTCCTGTGTCACGGTTTAATGACTTCAGTTTTGAAATTGAAATGTTCAAGTTTGAGAGGGCATTGAAAATCAAACAGTTCTTTTATACACAACCACGAACTATGCCTTTGTCCACAGGTCATTCGTTCAAACTTAAAAGCAAATTCATGCCCCCTGGACAATACCAATCCATTGATTGCTACATACGCACTTTGAAACACGATGTTCTCTCTGACATGCCCATGAGGAGATGCACTAATCTTAGCCCTGAGGAATTGAAAGCCCTAAGGACACTCAGGGATGATAAAAATATTATCATCAAGCCCGCGGATAAGGGCGGTGCTATTGTGATCATGGATTATAAAAAACTATAGGGAGGGCATGTTATCAATGTTAGCTGATACTAACAGTTACCTACAACTTACTGTGGATCCTACTCAAGGCATCATGAATACTTTGAATTCTCTCATCAACATTGGCCAAGCCAACGGTTGGATCTCTAATGAGACAGCTGAATTCTTGATCGATGACCATCCAAGACTACCTGTGATATATGGGTTACCTAAAATCCACAAGGGCACAAACCCTTTAAAATTTAGGCCAATTGTTTCTGGCACAGGGTCAATCACTCAACCTTTGGCTCAGCTACTGGACTTCCATCTTCAACCATTGGTTCAGAACCTGCCGGCATATGTCAGGGACACAGGGGATTTTTTGGATAAACTTGGGGGATTCTCGGCATTTGATGAAAATTGGAAATTAGCAACAATGGACATTTCGTCCTTGTATACAAGTATACCTAATGAAGCAGGTTTGGTGGCGGTTAGACATTTCTGGTCCGGATCAAATGCCCAGAATCTCCCATGTGAATATCTTATTGATTGTTTACGTTTTGTACTTGAAAGCAATTTTTTTGCATTTGAGGGGACCATCTATGCCCAAATACGCGGCACTGCCATGGGCAGTTCTGCTGCCCCCTCCTTTGCAAATCTGTTTGTTGGGTATATGGAGGAGCACAACATTTATGTCATGCCTTTGTTCATTGATCATGTCAAATGCTGGCTAAGATATATAGATGATATCTTCCTTATCTGGAAAGGGGAAACATCTATTTTTTATGAGTTTGTTGACCAGCTTAATGGCATCTTTCCTGGTATCATTTTCAACCCGAGATATCCCCCAACAGCATTACATATCTTGATGTGAGGATCACTAACAATCAGGGTACACTCCAGACATCTGTGTTCTCAAAACCAACGGACAAGAACACCCTACTACATTACCAGAGTGCACATCCCAAGCATCTCCGTGATAGCCTGCCTATCTCACAGTTCAAGAGGGTGTTACGCATTTGTTCCTGTATGAGTGACAGGAGAGAACAACTTGAGGCCATGTATAGAAAATTTGTGGAAAGAGGTTATCCTACTCGAGTACTTGATCAGGCATTAGCCAGAGCTATGGCAGATTCTGAAGGCAGCCCTAGGGCAGTCAACAGGCCGCTCTTTATACACGGCTTCAATCAGGCATCTGAGCGTATTAAACAAGCGGTCATGCATAACATGAACATCCTTAGAGCTGATGACACTCTATCACCCAACTTAAAGAATCCACCATTGATGGCGCATAAGCGAGGTAGATCCCTACGTGACTTATTAGTTCAAGCGGACCCTAGGACCAAATACGCTAAGGCAGTATTTAAGTTCTCAGAAAGACAGGGTTGCTATAAGTGTTACAATTGTAATGTATGCAACTCATTGATCTGTGGGGAATATTTCACACATCCCCACAGTGGGAAACGTTACCAGATACAGGGTTACCTGAACTGTAACACGGATCACTGCGTTTATATTCTGAAAATGCCCATGCTCACTAGTTTATGTGGGCAAAACAAAAGGTCCCTTTAAGCGAAGATTTCAGAAACATAGGAGTGACATTAGGACAGCTCTAGTCAAGAGTACCAAAGGTGAACCCATTGATTTGAGTAAACCCGTAGCGGTCCATTTTATTTCGGCAGGACACCAGGTACATGAATTGAGGGGCATGATCATTGAACACGTCAGTCGATTGGCGAGAGGAGGAGATCGTGACAACTTCCTCCTCCGTCGTGAAGCTTATTGGATCCATACCCTTGACACAACACAACCGAGGGGACTTAATACTAACACATCATATTTGTGCTTTTTGGATCGCAGATGAACTTTGGTTATAATGATTCCTCATGATTGAAGTGTATATAGTTTTGTAGATAACTTTTGGTTTAGATTTTTCACATTTGCACTATTCACAGTGGTCTCTCTCTTTCTTCTTGCAAGTAGGCGAGCTGTGTCACCCCTTTACATTCCTTTTTTTTTTTTTTTTTTTTTTTTTTTTTTTGCCTCTTTTCCATTTTATCACTCCCTTCTCTTTCACTTTTCCCCAGCTCCATTCATGGACTGATTATCATCATTCTCAGGGCTGGTTCGCACTATAAATACGTAGTCGAGATGCGTTCCAGATGCGTCTTTGCCTGTGCGTTTTGACACGGTTTTTGGCATATCTTGTGCGTTTGTTATGCATTCCAAAGTATTTTTTTATACATTCTAGTCCATTTGTTTCCCCTCTCTTTTTTCATTTGAGATGGGGATATGTGTAATTGGCATATTTTTGGTGCACTCCGGTGCGCTTTGATGCGTTTTTGCAGTATTCTAGTGCAACTCTGTACGAGTGAGATTGCGGCTTGTTCTGCTTTTTATCTGCAGCTGGAACGCACTGGAACTACGAACACTGATGTGAACTATGACATTGGCAACCATGTATAGTATACTACTTTATCTTTGGATGCAGATGAAAAGTAACTGAAATGCATGTGGTGTGAACTAGCCCTCAATCTGTTTTCTTTGTGTTCTTTTTTTCTTCACAGCTCATCTCTGCAACCCCGCCCACCCATTGGTTTGTGTGGCGTCGGCGCCATATGTTTCTATGACGCCGGCGATTTGCCTCCGCCTTGTCCTTCCCGGCGCCAACATCATGGGTTTCCATGATGATGGCGACCGGTGCAGGAATGTCTTTGAGCGCATGTGTGAGTAGTAAACTCTCATGGTGCATGCAGGTGACATGCGTCGCTATGAAACTGTCGGCCGCTGCACTAATAGGACCACTGTAGGTGTGTCCCCCATTGCAGCTAACTTGGCAATCGGAGACAACCCTCCCATATTTTCTAGGTAACAGTCTTTATCTTCTGTCATGGACATATATGCTGCTGGTTGTTGATTCCAGAACCCAGCGCTGCTTTCAGCTGACACCTTTATTACAATCCGGGGAGTACCATGATACACATGTGACCACAATGTTTATATCCCCAGGAATGCAGTTTATGTACATCTGATTATTGTTTATTTATTTTTGCAGTTTGTATTGTTTCTGTTTACATTGATTTGAATACATTTTTGGAGGGAACATGACATCATGGGGTGGGGCCAAGCTCATTTCACTTCACTCTGATTGGTGGATGGTTTTTTTTAAATAGTTCTCCAGTTTCTATCACGATTTGTCACATGCCTGATGAAGGGGTCCTGCGAGACTCCGAAACGTTGCCTTGCTGTAACTATGTGATGGTTTATTAAAACCTTTGGACCCATATTGGTGATCCTCGGTGTGCTGGTGACATTTTTTCCTTAGGGGTCTAACCCTGGCACTACACATCTGACATTGTTTCGCTAGGTACTCTGGTGGAACCTTAGGGGGCCACAATACGATTTCTGGGTAAGCGACGTCATGCATGACGTGATGAATCGGAGAACTTTTGCTCCTAACACCACCTTAGGTATCATACCGCTGGGCGAATGTATTGTATGATTGTGACTGTATTGGTATGTGGTGTATTCATGTGCTGCTTTGCAGTACAGGGAGGAATGTACCCCAATTAGGTATCTTGTTTTTTTCATACTTATATAAAAAATAAAGTATATTTAAAAAAAAAAAAAAGTTTGTCTTTAAAATACTGGTTAATACTACAAACTTACGAGGCATCTTCAATCCAGTCTTCATCTTCCAGAATTGCTTCAATCTGGGGGTTTGTGATGACAACATCATCCAGTTCTAGGTCTGATGGCTCGGATTGGGTTTCCATTGCTCCAATTAAATCCACGGTTGGCCTTTTAACAAATTGAGCATTATAAATATTTGGTAGAATGTACCAGTGACTCTATTTGTACCTTAAAATCTTTTTATGTAAGACCAGGTTTGTGACCATAGTGCATAATAGGATGAAGTATATCTGCTGTATAAGCCATGAGAACTACATTAAGTGAATCACAAAGTAGAACAAGACACTGGGGTTAATTTACTAAAACTGGGGAGTGCAAACTTTGGTGCAACTGTACATAGCAGCCAATCAGTTTCTAACTTCAGCTTGTTCAATTAAGCTTTGAAAAAAAAAAACTGGGAGTTGATTGGTTTCTATTCAGAGCTGCGCCAGATTTTGCACTCTCCAGCTTTAGTAAATGAACCCTGCTGTGTAAGATAGGGTTTTGTGATGAACTAATCGGTTCCATATTTTCAACATTAAAATCATACTAGATCCCATTTTGGCCCCACTCATGGTGCATATAGATGGGTTTGGCTAAGCCAAAAAGTCAAGGAAGTTAAGACTCTACAAATAAGGTGGATGTAATGCCAAATTTTCAGCAGAAGGAAGAATACAGTAACATTGAATGTACCAAAGTTGCATGGCACAGGTGCATGCATATCAGCACTTGCAAGAATTAGCATGGGTTTGGTGCCCAGCGGTCTATATGAACTGATGATCAGCAGAGAGAAATTGCTGAATGGTCTTCAACTTGTTCCTGTGACCTTGAAACCTGATCTGTTGATAGTGCTTTCCTGTGTATGAGGACCTCAACTACTGCCTTCTGTCTCATTAGTTACTTGCTTGGCTACTACAGATCTCCGCTTGTTTACTGGACTTGTCTCTGCTTCCTGATTTATTCTTACCTTGCTGCCTGGCTGGTCCTGACCCCAGCCCGCTTCCTGGACTTTTCCTTGCCCTCTGTTTCTGCTGCCACACTTTCTCAGACTACTGCTGACCCTGGCTTGTTCCTTGGACTCTGCTTCTGTCTCTTGTCCTGGTGTCAAGAAGTTCCTGTGTCCAAATCTACTCATTTGGATTCTACTTGGATCCAATGCAGCCTGCAGAACATGGCACTCATGCCACCCTTTGCCCTCATGCTGTCTCTACCTTCAGGAGTGTTGGGCAGGAGGTACAAAAGAGGTCCCCTCAGCCATTCCGTGTCCATCAGGTACATGTTAGTGAAAATATCATGCATACTTTTTTTAGTGTTTTTTATGATCATGTTTTGGCCTGCCAACATGGATATAGGAAATGATCTCCTACTTGTGATGATATCGCTGCTACTTTCAGGTAACATTGGGTTTGCAATGGCATTTGGTGAACAAAATGTGGATTTATATCTTTTTTGGCTATTGAGCAATATATTTGAATGAAAGTTCTTGTGCCTGGTGTTCAGCTTTAACCTCTAGCTATATACATTATTCCCACCTCCTAGGATAGGTTTCCTGTTCTGAAATCATACATTAAGATACCAGCATCATAACAAACTGCAATGGTAAAACTAAATCATAGAGGCACACACAGACTTTCAAAACCTAACAAAAGTGATGAGACATCTTGTGGTACCCAGGGCTGGATTAATACTTGATTAATGTATTTGATGGCCTTTATGTAAAGTACAGTGCTTGTATGATTTTCTCTGAACTCTGAAATCCACTTTGCCAGACCATTTTGCCTTCTTTAACATAGCGCAGGCTGAGACTGTGCACACTTGATAGTTAAAAAAATGTACTGTAGGTTGGGTTAAGTAATTTTTAATTGTATGGAGGGGTGCAGCCATATTTTCTCTGCTCTAGGGCTCAGCTGATGTGACATCATACCACCTGTCTGCTGTTCTTGTGACTATCACTTACTGCTGGCCTGGTATCTGTGTCCAGTCTCCAGTCTCCAGTCCATCTACCATGAGGAACCTACTCTGTGCTAACCAATTCAGATGTGCCCATCTACCTGTACCAGATGAAGGCAAGAACTTCGAGATACTCGTGCCCCTCTGTGCTCTCATGCCATGCTAGTACATGATAGATCATACAGAATTGTTAATGGGATTTCTAAGGTGCCAATATAAATGTATAACAAACAATTATATGAAATCCTTATAGCTTTAAGTTTCTTAAAATTGATCTCTTGATCCATAAAATACATTATTTTCAAGCCTCCAGAAGGATGTTGGTAATATAATACAGTATCCACAAAACACACCTTCAGAGTCTGCCCTGGTTACCCTAACCCTTAATTTTTACTTTTATTACTGGTGAGATTTAAATAATCCCATTTTATATTGCATGCTAATTGAATGGTCGGGTCATGGCAGGTGCAAAACATGTTTTGTGGGTCAGTAAACCCACTTCCTCAGGTTCTGTGAAACTATATACGTGAAAAATAAAAGATATGTTTCCCATGTTATAGTTTCATAGTGCAAGATTCCTTGGAAAATGTGATTTACCTGGGTATCCACAATGATTGGTGAAAGAATGCAGGATGGAGAGGTCCACCAGTCAACCCCATCCTATGTGGATGTGGCTAAGGTCTCTGGCCCCACCAAGGCTTGTTTAACCACACCGATTTCTGAAGCACCAACATCGATGCACTTAGGCCTAATTCACCCTTCAGAAGAGCACCAACGCCAGAGGCAGAACATACTCATTGTGGAGAAGTGGGCCATTACGTGTGGACCTGTCCTGCCATGCTCCGTAAGTGCCTAATCATTTGTTTTGTTAACCGGTCACTTGTGTCAGTCAACTCCACTCACCTGGATCTCCCTATCTCATTATAGCTTCCAGGAAGAGTTTTCCAGATGTCTGCCATGATTCCTTCCAGAGCCTGCAACTGCTTCTTAGCAACTAATACCATTACAACCTAAATCTCTGGCAGATGAATCTAGTATTAAATCTGGATAAGTCAAGCAAGAAACTGCTCCTCTGCTAGGTATTATACTTTCCAGTTATAAAACACTGCTACGCATGGATACCATTGCATTACCGCTATTCCCCATTTTTGGACATGCAATTGTTACAGGCCCACAACTCACATAAAATATCCTTCCAGTCCTCCTATTGGCAGCAGTACTGTTTTCAAGAGTCATCTACCGAATCCTCAGCCTTACTATGTATGGACTCGGATACCAATTAACACCAATGCAATCCTGTGATTGCTCAGGTGCCCCCATAGAAAGCTGCTTGCTGTGGGGGCACTTGGCTGGAGAGGAAGGCTCAAGAGTGCCTTCAGGGCACCCAAGAAGAGAAGGATTGAGGCTGCTGTGTGCAAAACCATTGAACAGAGCAGATAAGTAAGACATGTTTGTTATTTTTTTTAAATCTGCCTTTGATATCACTTTAAAAGAATCCATTAATCCATTGATGGCAGTCTCAGAAAGGATATAGGTGTCCTTTTATCATGGAGCGGTAAATGACCGCTGCTCAGTTCTCCGGCATTCTCAGAGGAGAGAGTTCTCCATCTGAATGCCTTTTTATGAAGCGGTGTATATCAGTTCTTCGAATGAAGGGAGAAGCAATCTACAAATGCTTTGAATGCTGGAAAACGGCTGCTGTTACTATAATCTTGCGAGAATACAGTAAGAGATCAGTCAAACACCGTCTACTAAGCAGCGATAAATTACGCTGCTTCGTTTGCGGTGCCTCCGATTCTCCACCTCTGGGCTGGTGGGAGAACACATATCGCCAGTGAAGGGCTGACATCGCTCCTTCATACACTGGCCATCTGTGTGCTGAGATGATCAGCGGAGAACATGTTCCCCGCTGATCATCTCTGTTTCCTAAACCACTAATGATCGGAGATCAGCAACGATCCTTAGGATCGCTGCTGATCTCTGTTTCATAAAAGGACACCATAATATCCATCCTTTCACTTCTCATGCTGGGGCAGGAATCTTTTTTCTTTCTTTTTTCTTTTTCACCATTTGTAGATTACCAGGAGCTTAACTGTTAAAAATATTATCCTCTCCTGTTGGTACCTGAACTGTTTTAAAGACTCAGGTCTGCTACCTTGGTTGTGTGGATGAATCTGTTCATTATTGCTGAAAAAAAAAAAAAAATCCATGGCCAGGTATTGACTAATTGCCCTGATCTACTGATAGCTCCCACTAGTGTCCATAATATAAATGTATTTAGTACAGTTAAGAATGTATGGACTTTGTTAAATATGGAAGCAATATCTCAAAACGTGCTTATGGAAAATACACTATCATTTGTCTTTAAAGTCTATGACCATCTAAAAGGAAACCTCAACTTCTACACAGCTGTTGTAGGAGAGCAAATGATCTGACTTCATAATAAAAATGTTTCCTCTGCACTCTTGCATATCTACGTATGCTATGTGCTCTAAGTATACCTCTGATGGCTATGACCCCTCTTGTTCCGAAGAAGCCAAAGTCCAGACTAGATGGTTTACTTTCCCCTTCAAGAGTGGTCTGTTGGAAGTTTTGGCAGAGGTTTGTAATAGTTCATAGACATGCCTATTGGTCTCTTTCTGACAAGTAAGCCGACCAGGTGATCATTATATAATTATAATCCCCTTCAGTATAAAGTTTCTCACTCTAGAAACATTGCACTAATGAAACACCTGCAAAAATATCATGGTTTGTTAAGGGGAGAATCCCTTTAAATTTGTGGCATGACAACAGTTCACACCTTTTTTGTCCCCGACAACCTGTTCTTACTTGTTGTTGTAGTGTGTCAGAAGATTCTTGGTCCGGCAATACCGTTGTCGGCATACCACAATCAAAGCCACAAAGGAAGCCAGGAAGATAGTGGCTAGGACACCAATGGCCACAATGACCACAGTCTCCATTTCTTTACTGGGTCGGCAGGCCTCTTACATGGAGTGAGGTTAAATCATCTGAAACATGAGCACAAACAGGATAGATTATTTATTGGTAGGATTCGTTGATTAGCAAGCATCCTAGCTATTTTTGTAATCTTTTCATAAGCAGCAAGTTACACAAGAAGCAGTGGAGCAGGGACCATCAGAGTTCCAGGAGAGAAGGGAGTGAGGTTTGTTCTATTAACAGACCCCCCCCCCCCCCCAAAAAAAAAAAATAAAATTGGTAGTAAAATATTGGGGTGATTTACAAACCAAACCAGCCATGGATGGTTCGAATCTCGGCCAGTTCAGCATGTCGAATTTTTAGCATGCGATTATTGCTAGCGACTAATCGCTTTGCTCTCCCACCAGGATTGGCTACTGTGTGTGACAGGTGTATATTATTATTATATATATAGCTCCAAGGGTTTGCTCAGCACTTTACAAAACGAAGGAAGACATAACAGTTACAATACAATTTTGTACAAGAGGAAACAGAGGGCCCGGCTCGTTAGAGCTTACAATCTAGGAGGAAGGGTTGAGTGATACAAAAGGTAATAGCTGTGGGGGGAGGAGCTGATGGAGGAAATAAATGGCGGTTTACTAGGTAGAAGCAGGATAAGCTTCTTTTAAAGAGAACGTTTTACAGGGATCGTCTAAAGGTGGATAGATTAGGAGATAGTCGTACAGATTGGGGTAGGGAGTTCCATAGGATGGGAGAAGCTCGGGAAAAGTCCTGGAGGTGAGCATGGTGACATGGGAACTAGAGAGCAGAAGGTCTTGGGAGGATCGAGGTTTGGTTGATGTTTTGAGGCCAGGTTGGTGATATAGCTGGGGGAAGAGTTGTGGATGGCTTTGTAAGTTGTTGTTAGTATTTTGAATTTTATTCATTGGGCGAGTGGCAGCCAGTGAAGGGATTGGCAGAGAGGGGTAGCAGACACTGAACGGTTGGTAAGGTGGATGAGTCTGGCAGCAGTATTCATGATAGACTGCAGGGGGGGATAGCCTATGTAAAGATAAGTCAATGAGGAGGGAGTTGCAGTTGTCAAGGCGAGAGATAACCAAGGAGTGAATTAGGAGCTTTGTGGTATCATTGGTTAAAAAGGGGCGTATTCTTGAGATGTTGGGGAGGTTGAGGCGGTATGATTGGCCAGGGATTGGATGTGGGCCTGAAAGGATAGTTCAGAATCCAGGGTTACCCCCAGCACCCTGGCATGCAAATATGGGTTGATAGTGGTGCTATTGATCCTGATTGAGAAATCAGGGGAAGAGGCACGTGGGGGAGGAAATATTATGAGCTCAATTTTGGATAGATTGAGTTTTAGGAAGTGGGGTGACATCCAGTTTGATATGACAAATGGCCCATTCACAGTCTACTCTACAGCAAGCCTTTTCTGAAGTTCCGAAGATGGTTGGGCAGGTGGTGGAAATGTAAGCAGGGATGCAAAAATCCCTTATTGATGTGCAACAGCCTGTGGTTTCTTGAAAAAGAAGGCATCAGGGCATGGTGAATTAGGCGATGCCACACCACCCTCTGGAAAGAGATCATACAGTCCTCAAGAACAAGAATTACACACCACTACACACAGTGCAAGGCTTATCTGTAAGCTGGGGTAGTACCCTAATGTTGGACTGTCACAGGAATGCAGTACCTGCCTGGTCCTGGGCACGTGCACAGCAAAAGTTACCTCCACGTGCAGGATGAGTAGGCTCCACCCACAAGTGGAGAGCCAAAATATCAATATGTTCTCCAAAGAGGCTGATGACTCTTTAAGCCATAGTTTGGAAGAGACTGAAGGTCTTCAAAGATGTTAGGTCAAGGCCAGTGCCAGGGTTAGTGTTGAGGTCAGAGGTTATGATTAGTACATTTTGGGAAGGACTTTTTTTTTTAAAAAGCATTTTTAAAAGTAGTATCAGGGTAGGGGTGTTTTAGTTGGGATAACAAAAAGGCATAATGTGCACTATTGTTTCTGGGCCTTACTACGGGTACAAACAACAAATAACACACAGACAGCTGGTAATATAAGTATTGAACACATCACCATTTTTCTAGGTAAATCAAAAGTCAAGTCAAACTCCTGGGATATTGATCTGGTCAGGTAAGTTGCAGAGAGGGGGGTTGTTAATCAGTTTCAGCTGCTTTGGTGTTAATTAAATTAACAACCTGTGCACTAGATGGGCAACAATGAGATGACCCCCAAAACAGGAATGGTTTTACAGGTGGAGCCACGGACATTTTTTTTCCCCACTCATCTTTTCTGACTGGTTTTCACTAGTTTTGCATTTGGCTAGGGTCAGTGTCACTACTGGTAGCATGAGGCCATACCTGGACCTTCTGCACAATATTATAACAATCAACAACCTGCACCCATTACAAAAGTTATATATCTCATGAGCACAAAAAAAAAACCAATAGTATAGCACTAGCTGACATAAAGTGGTTCTATAAATACACACACAGGCCCCTGTAGTAGGTACTCCCGTTCAATTGCTTGGTAACACAAATTACTAATCAGCCAATCACATGGCAGAAACTCAATGCATTTAGGCATCTAGATGTGGTGAAGACGACTTGCTGAAGTTCAAAACAAGCATCAGAATGGGGAAGAAAGGGGATTTCAGTAACTTTGAACGTAGCATGGTTGATGGTGCCAGACGGGGCTGGTCTGAGTATTTTAAAAACTGCTGATCTACTGGGATTTTCACGCACAACCATCTCTAGGGTTTACAGAGAATGGTCCAAAAAAAGAGAAAATATCCAGTGAGTGGCAGTTGTGTGGAGGAAAATGTTTTGTTGATGTCAGAGGTCAGAGGAGAATGGGCAGACTGGTTGCTGCGACATTCAGTGGGTAGGGTCAGAATTTGGCATAAACATCACAAAAGCATGGATCCATACTGCCTTGTATCAACGGTTCAGGCTGGTGGTGTAATGGCGTGCAGAATACCATCTCGGAATGCACAACATGTCAAACCTTGAAGCAGATGGGCTACAGCAGCAGCAGATCACACCGGGTGCCACTTCTGCCAGCTAAGAACAGGAAACAGAGGCTACAATTTGCACAGGCTCACCTAAATTGGAGAATAGAAGATTGGAAAAACGTTACCTGCTCTGATGAGTCTTGATTTCAGCTGCGACATTCAGATGGTAGGGTCAAAATTTGGCATAAACAACATGAAAGCATGGATCCATCCCGCCTTGTATCCACGGTTCATGGATGTGCAGCCAACAAATCTGAAGCAACTGCATGATGCTATCATGTCACAATGGACCAAAATCTGAAGAATGTTTCCAACACCTTGTTGAGTCTATGCCACGAAGAATTAACCCTTTGATGACAACGTCACACAAATATGAGGCCTCACAGAACTGGACTTTTTTCCTTGGGGACGCATATTTGCGTACCTGTCTTTGTGCTGGGAGTGTGCCGCACAGCGCGCTCTCAGTACAAAGACCGCAGTGTCACTGAGCGCCCCAGGTCCCCGTTCTAACGATCGGGACCCGGGACTCCCGATTCCGGGTCACATGATTGCTGTGATACCCTCTGATTGGCTATCACAGTGATCAGTCACTGTGCAGGCACTGAGAGCACTGTGTCCCGTTCTAACGATCAGGACCCGGGACTCCCGATTCTGGGTCACATGATCGCTGTGATAGCCTCTGATTGGCTAGCACAGTGATCAGTCACTGTACAGCCCGGCCCCCTTGTTTTTCTCTCTATGAATGGAGGAGAGAGATACAGTGTCTCTCTCTAACTCCTGGCATAGTTAGGGGAAAAAAATGTTTGTAAAAATAAATAAATATTAAAAAATAAAAGAAAACAAGAAACACTCAGCTAAAATAAAAAAAAATGATTTTTTTTTTTACTATTTTGGGCCAGTTTTCCTTTGATGATAGAAAAAAAAAAAATCAGGAGATATCCTTTACCATTTACCACCAATTGTCCTGAAAAAAACGCAGTATAATTCATCTGGATGTACAAAGTAGTTGTGATGATATGTATGGTTTTACTAACACATGCCAACGTTGCAAAATTGTGCTTGTGCATTACTATTTATTATTATACAGGATTTACCGTATTTTTCCCCGTATAAGACGCACCTGATCATAAGACGCACCTAGGTTTTAGAGGCAGAAAACAGGAAAAAAAAATTCTGAACTAATGGACTGCAGACATAGTACAGGAGATGACCAGAGACTGCGGACAGCACAGGAGGATGACCAGAGACTGCGGACAGCACAGGGATGACCAGAGACTGCGGACAGCACAGGGATGACCAGAGACTGCGGACAGCACAGGGATGACCAGAGACTTCGGACAGCACAGGGATGACCAGAGACTGCGGACAGCACAGGGATGACCAGAGACTGAGGACAGCACAGGGATGACCAGAGACTGAGGACAGCACAGGGAATGACCAGAGACTGCGACAGTACAGATGACTGCTGACCCTTTGGGGAGGTGTGGGAGCGGGTACCTGAATTTGATAGACAGGTACCCCGATCTTTACCTGTTCCTCGATCCAGCCGCGCGCTGTCTTCCCGGCTTCTGTAATGGCGCTCGGCATGACAGCCGGTGCCCAGTGCGCATGAGCGAGAAGCACTTGCGCTTTTTGTGATTGGTCCCTGCGGCTTCTGGGATCTGTCATGTGTCCCAGGTACCCCGCCTTAAAACCATTCACAAAAAAGCACCGCTTCTTGCGCATGCGCACTTGGCACCCGGCTCTCATGCCCACACTACAGAAGCCGGGGGGGAAGACAGCACGCTGCTGGATAGAGGAACAGGTAAGGTCCCGCTGCAGAGCTGAGCGGCCGGCCGGGTATTCTGACACGGGCCGCGGTGGAAATACCGGACCGGCCCGCTCCATATTCGCCTTTATAAGACGCACTGACATTTCCCCCCAGTTTTGGGGAAGAAAAAGTGCGTCTTATACGGCGAAAAATACGGTATATAGACGCCAACAGTTTGCTCAGCGCTTTACAATATAAA